AAGCCTAAACTCTAGACATTCCCTAAGCCCTACACCTTGAAGCTCAGGTTCTGGCTTTTTGGCGGGCCTCAGGGGTTCAGGGTTGAGGGTTTAGTAATCTTAGGGTTGGGATTCCGGATAAAAGGGATGGGGGTCGAGTGGTTCAAGACTTTAGGTGAGGTTGTCTTCACGTTTCGCTTCAAGTCTTCCGTAATGGCTGTTGAAAAGTTGCGAGATGATGCGTATCGCATGTGTCCTACGTTTGTTGCACGTTGCGTTCCCGAATACCCAGAGACCTCCAAACCCCGTCTACACATAAAATAACCCTAAGCCCTGAACCCTACAAGCCCCATTTATTTCCCCAAAGCCCCAGTGGTCCTCGAGGCTTTCTTTAACCTCTGCTCATGGCTCGCTCATGGCTTAGCAGACTTTCAGTGGCTGTTCTGCTTTCTCGGGATGATCGGTTTAGGGTTCAGGGCTTAGGGTTTAGGGTTGGGGGTTTGGGGTTTAGGGCCAAGGATTAGTCGAGGATTCGAGTCGAGACGAAAAGAAAAGGTAAGGGGCTTCAACCTGTGGTTGGTAAGCACAGAACAACAGGCATTATCATGCGCTCCCAAAAATGCTGCATTCCAGAAGCAGGACAGCTCCCAACCCTAAACCCTAAACCCTAAACCCTAAACCCTAAACCCTAAACCCTAAACCCTAAACCCTAAACCCAATAGTATCCCTACAGAGCCCTCGAAACCTGCCAGACCCTGAAGCCAAAGCCCTTTTCCTCAGACCCGTGACCTGCAATCCCCCTGAAACCCCGAAACCCTAAAGCCTAAGCACTACTTTGAGGCCCAGGGGACTTAGTAAGTCGGTGATAAGTAGGGTTATACTTGGGGGTAACTCCATTTAGGGTACTTATAACTCTACTTATAGCCGAGTTACTAAGTTCCCTGGGCCTCTCACTAAGCCCTAGCTTGAAGTAGTGCGCCGCAGGCACGAAAGCGCATCGAGGAGATGGAGGTTCAGCGAGACAGTGCCTTGCAGGCTCGACCCTTCCTATAAAGTAAGTACTTGAAAGTAGGGCATAGGGTTTAGGGTTTTGGGTTTTGGGTTTAGGGCATAGGGTTTATAGGGGCTTGGTTTGAGGTTCAGGGTTTGGCCTTGAGGGTGCGAGGTTCAAGGTTAAGGGCCTGCATCAGATTGTAAGAAACAAGTCTTGCTTGTTTGTTAAGGGATTTTCATATCCGTCTTAAGCCTAAATTCTAACCCCGAAGCCACACGCCGAACCCAAGAATCTCTGCACAGGTCTGTGGATCCAGGGCCTATATGGCTTGGTATCTCCGTGATTGCAGGGTTTCAACTGTGATTGTTGTCATGAAGGTAATATAGGGGCCTGATAATCATTTCCCATACAGTAATATTTTGGGGGGTTCCTTATTCTACTTATAGTATAGAATGCCCCAAAACCCTATTCTAATTATTATTAAGGCCCCTATAGTTCTTTTTTTAAAATTAAAAACCAAGCTGGCGGCCTCCGCAGACCTCAGAAGTTTCAGGGCATTCCTCACTGGCGTTTTTTAATCTTTTTGGGAGTCGCGCACCCAGCATCCTTGACGCTGGAGTTCAAACCTGGCACCAAAGCCTCGTTAACCCACCGCGTTCTCGACCCGACCGTCATGTCCTGCACTGCAAGAAGCAGTAATCGCATCTCCTTCTGGTCCTTGTGTATGCAGGTATACGAGAATGTATGCCAACACCCTGTTCCAATTTCCCAAGTCCTAAGCCTCTCAAAGTCCTTGAACCCCGCATGCCTGACCCAGCGTCTGACCACCAGCAAGTTGAGCCCTTGTGATGAGCCTGAAAATACCAGTGCCAGAGGCTGATGCTACGCGTCTTTTCTCAAAAAGGTCGCAGAGAGCGGGCTATTCGGTTCGCCGTTGTGGCTGCATTCCTTCATCTTTCCTCCGTCGCTTTCGGCATACAGAAACAGACACCTCTGAGCGTAGTTCGAGAGAAAGCCGGGCTTGCGTTCCACACTCGTGCCCGGCAGCCTGAAAGCTTCCTCAGCAGGGAAAGCCAAATCCTCTTGTCTGACATATCCGACGCCGGCAGCCGGGGCGATTGGCTGAAGGTTCAGAAGCTTTTTGGTACCTATGCAGGAAGTGAGGAACAGATCTTCTCTGCTGTCATGCACATTGCCGTCAACTGCAGCCAGTTCAAGCAAGGTGCTGCTGTGTATGCAAAGGCATGCAACCTGAACATTTCCAAGACGTCTCCAACCTTCTCGGCTGCATTGAAAATTCATGCCAGGCTGAATCGACAAGAGACCGTGAAGCAAATCTGGACTGAGGCGTTGCAGACTTGTCCCCTGAACGAAGTCTTGGCAGGCGCACGTCTCGATGCAGCAGCGATTGAAGGAGATGTGGAGACAGCCGCTGAAGTTCTAGACCTGCTGAACCACACATCTGGTGTCAGAACCGACGTGGCACACGTTACATCCGCTATCCGTGCATGCTGGGAAGCTGAGGGTCGGAGCCATCACGCAGCGAAGTTTTTGTTTCAGCATTTGTTGGACCTGGGCCTACAGCCGAACATTGTGGCCTACACATGCTTGATTGGTGCCTATGCCACGGCGCCCTTGCCGCAAGTACTCGCGGCATATGATCAGCTGAAGTCTTCTGATGTTGCCATCGACTCCCCTTTCACCGAAGTGTACTTTGTGACCGTGCTCCAAAAGCCCAAACCTGAAGACTGGCGTGGCGAGAAGATGATCGAGAAGCTTAAGGCTCGCCCTCTTGATCGACTGGCAGCTGCCAGGGTGGCCCTGCATGACTTCAACGCTGCGAGACTTGAGCTTTCCGCCCTAAGCTTGTCGATCCAAAGAGCTTTGCTAAAGCTTGAACAGTAAAGCCGTGATGAAATGCCTCCGGAGCATCTGCACAAGTTGCAATTTGCGTAAGGCCGTTGCCTGCTTTGCTGCTGCCGACGGGAAGCCAAAATCGATCCTTACAGTTTGGGTGGTTCTGAGTTTCGAGTTGCGAGTGTCAGTTCAGCCAGTTCGGCAATTTCTGGAAACCGAACATGAACACAACTTTCCGACGCTGTAAACGCGCCGCCCTGAACCCGAGCAGAAACTAACAACACCTAGCTTTCCGGGGGCTTGGCCATTTGGGCACAAGCAAGCCCGAACTCCTAACCCCTAAAACCCTGAACCCTCTACCCCAAGCTGTAATTGACTGTTGATGATATAGATCCTGCATTGCCTTAAGGACCCTAAACTTAGGGAATCATGGTATTCCTTATTATGGGTACTGCAGGATTTGTACCATCAACCGTATCACCAGTGGATTCCTAGGCCTGAATAGATGCTTCCGACAGGCCCTTTAAAGGAACCCCGTTCGTAAAGGAGCCCAGTGCTAGTGCTAAAGGACCCTGTGCTAATTGACCCTAAACCGTAAAACCCTAAACCCCAAATCCTATACCCTAAACCCTTATAAACCCTCAAACCCGTAGCCCCCAAGCCCCTAAACCCTTAAAGCCCTAACCCCTAAACCCCTTAAGCTGTAATCTGTTCAGGAGTACCGTCGCGAAACGGGCCGCATCTTGGACATGTCGAAGTTCAAGGTGGTTCGGAACCCAGCTTCCGGCCCCTAGGTTTTAGGGCTAGCATGGGGTGTAGGCTTTGGGCCTTGGGGTTTAGGGCTTCAGGGTTTTAGGGGCGTAGGGTTCAGGGATCAAGGGGTTTAGTGTTTAGGGTTGTAGGTTTGGGGTTACGGGAGCAGCTTTCTCTCCTTCAATCATTTGAGGGATCCTTAGTATTTGCTATAGTGGTCGGGGCCCAGCTTTGGGCGACAGTTTAGGAATGTTTAGGATGGTAGGGTTTAGAGTTTGGGGTTTAGGGTTTACAGTATAGGGCTTGAGGGGTCCGGCATTGGGCTTAGGATTTGGGGCTTAGGTTTAGGATGCAGGGTTGAGGCCTTAGGATTCCAGGCCTAAGGTTAAGGGGAAAATGTTTCTATGAAAGAGTTGAAAACAGGGTTATGAGGGTTCTTCAAGGGTTCCTTGTGCTACGTTAGACTAAGCTTCCTCGAAGTGTTCTCTTAGAAGGGTTTAAGGCCTAGTATCGCAATGTTGAGGCCTCGACGCTTGGACTAGTGAATTGAGCGGTATATTCGGTCATGGTGAAGTTTACTAGGGATTTTCAGGAATTCGGAGCTTTCGGACTTGTCTTCTGCAAGTTGGCTAACGAGTGACGAGTGCTGGGCGTATTTAGGGATTTTGAGATTTAGGTTAAGAGTTTTGGTTTGCAGGGTGGGTCTAAGGATTGGTAGATGAACTAGATCGATGCCATGTCATTCTGCGGCCGCCGACGTTTTGCGATTGTATAACCCGCATTGTTACCCTAGCCCAAAAGCCTTGTGAGTCCTTAGAGCCTTAGGGTTAATTAATGACACTTAAACCTTTCTGGGCTGAGACACCAAGCAGTTCGGGTCCTCTCATCGGCCCTGGAACCCTTACAGGAGCACATCAAGGAACCTTTTAACGGAACCTTTAAAGCAGGCCCCTTTAGGAACCTGCCCGCACCCAGGCGCCCACGATTCCGAAGTAGACAGCTGGCGAATTCCGTCAGGGCTACATGGCGGTTTCTGAAAACAAATATTTATGCGCCTTCAACGATAGTGTGCTCTGCCATCACGATCTCAGCACCGAGGTATCCAGTTAATTCACTTGTCAACTGAGCTATATAGTCTCAAAATACGTGTCAACTGCGCTACGCTATATTCTCATTTTTCAGAACCAGCAATTTCTGAAATCGGTGTCCTCAATAGTCTGCCCCAAACTGCAAAGTCTTCTTCGCACAAGGCTCCCCAGAGCTTGTACATAGTGGCACTGGGCATGTAGTTGATCCCTGAATCTTGAGGCCTACGCCTAAGCCCTAAACCCTAAGCCCTAATCCCCAAACCCTAAACCCTAATCCCTAAACCCTAAACCCTAAACCCTAAACCCTAAACCCTAAACCCTGATCCCTAAACCCTATAATCCCCACACCCTAGACTCTAAATGCTAATCTCTGCTGTGCCCCGAAGCCTCGGTGGCTTCAGGGATCATGGCCCTGTGTCAGATTCAGCCCCTGCTGTCGAAAGTGCAGCGATATCCGTCGGCCCTGGATTTCGCAAAAAAGGGTTTAGGGTTTGGCGGAGTGGAATGTAGAGTTTGCATCGTTTCGACGCAGCACGCTGAATGAAGCTAAAAGATAGCTACTATGGGCTTAGCTTTGCGTGCGATACTTGGTTTTGGAGTTTAGGGCCGTTCTTTGGTTCGGAGCCCAGCGGTTCCTGCTCCTTGGGGGATGACGGGACTTGCGCAAGACGGGCACCATAGAAGCCCTTCGATCATACCTTCCGCCAGTATACTACCGTACACTGAGCTATTTTGGATTTCGTACGGAGGCCGAAGAGTTCAGGGTGGGGTTTAGAGATGGTTTAGGGTTTAGGGTTTAGGGTTTAGGGTTCATGTCGTTTACATGATTAAGTAGGTTTCAGTTCAAGACTAAGGACTTTACCGCGACTTGGTTCTGACCTTTGCTACCTGTAACTCCACAGCCTTCAAAGACGTCACCAACCCTAAACTGGCGTGTTCTTGAACATGATTGTCAATGCTAGTAGAGTATGTGCAAGTTGTTAAGAAATCCATTTTCAAGTCCAGCATCGGCGCAGTAAAGCCGGAACCCCCAAGCCACGAACCTAAAACCCTCAAACAAAGCCGTAAACTCCTACAGATCCGCTAACGGAGCCATTCAAGAACCCCGAAGGGGAACCTGATAATGGAACCCTATAACTAGTACTCTTTAAAGGAACCCGAAAACGAACCCTAAACCCTACCCTTAAAGGACTACCCTTGAAGGAGCCAAAAAGAACCCCAAGACCCCGGCGAAGGATCGGAGTACTGGGGTTTAGGATGAGGCGTGGGATTTCGGAGTTTAGGATCTGAGAGGGTTTGGAGTTTAGGGTCTTCGAGTGTAGGGTTTAGGGCAGTTTAGGGTCTTGGAGTCTTAGAAGGTTTAGGGTCTTCGAGTGTAAGGGTTAGGGTCGTAGGCTTGTTTTGGGGTGGTGTAGGGTTTAGGGTCTTAAGGTTTAGGGCCTAAAGGGCATTGGGTTGTTCGGGTTAGAGTCTTAAGGGTGTAGGGGCTAACGAGTGTTGGGATCTTAAGATTTAGGGCCGTAGGTTTGAGGGGTTGGGGTCTTAGGGTTTTGCTAGACCCCACAGAAACCCTCTGGCAAAGCCCAACTTCCCATTATTCAGGAGCATAAGGTCTCGATTAAAGTGTGTGTAGGTGGGAGTTCTGATTATCAGGTTTAGGGAAGGTTTGTTCTCTCGTCGGTTTTCTGAGCCAAATAAATTTATGTCACGGTTTAGCTTCGTGTTCTACCTCTTTGATTCGGGCGTTCTGCATGTTTTCTTGTTCGAAAAGTGTTTGTTTGGCTTTCTTGTGGTGGTTGGCTTGGTCCAGCCTGGTCTTGGTGGCGGTCAAGGACAGCGCAGACTCTCAGCCCTCAGCACTTATCTTAGACGACAGAGTCTAATCCTGCGCCGCATGCCCTAAACGACCCTAAACTCAGACATACAGGCCTCGGATCCTCGTCGTATCCGTATCGAGGGAGGTGGTGGAAATCAGAGGTTCATCGATTTTTATCGGGGTTCGCCCTCTAAACACCCCTGCTTGCACGCAGCTGTTGGGCATGGCACAAAATGGCAAAGATCTACTAGCCCTAAACCCTAAACCCTAAACCCTAAACCCTAAACCCTAAACCCTAAACCCTAAACCAGCCCAACGCCCAACCCCCTAAGCCCGAAGCCGCGCAAGCCAAAAGCTTCGGAAAAGCTTCAAGCTACTTGCGAATCGCCAGCAAAGCCGAAGCCGCCACGACGTACCCTAACATGCTGATCTGGCAAACCCGAACCCTAAACCCTGCATCACAAACATCAAACCCCTAAACCCTAAACCCTAAACCCTAAACCCCAAACCCTAAACCCTAAACCCTCAAACCTCTAAGCCCGAAGCCCGAAGCCCCAGCTCACCCGTACATCTCGGCAATGTCAGCAAGCGGGTTTCTGCCCGTCAAGCCTTGAACCTTAAAGCCTCAGCATTAAGCCCAGCAAGACGAAGTTCCATCTTAGGATTTCCTGATATGTATG